AAACGAAACGCATCATAAAAAGTTTAAAAACACCCGCTACTGGTTGTTGAACAATTAAATAAATACAAGGAGGCATTGGAGGCAATCACCACTACTATCAATTCAGCGACAGAACACTTTAGTTTGGACGCCGGCCAGAGAGACAGCATCGGGCACAAATATTTACAATAATTAATCCTTACTAACACGCTGTCATTGAACGAACGTTAGTCTCTGTTTCGGTCAAGCGCTCAAGAATAATTGCCTCATCATCACCGATATTAAAACGATCGAAAGGTTCAAACACTACATTTCGCTCTGCTCATATTGGCAAAGACAAATTAGGTTCGATGCGACTGACCTGAATCGATCAACAATGTTAAACATTTACACATTCATCACCATCAGCTCGCCCTTTTCCCTACGGACCGTTTACACAGTACACAATACTCTTTCCTACATCTCTATCACCAGTCATATCTGAATTTACTCCCTTCTTACACATATCCTTTCACAAAATCTATTCAAAACATTTACTTATTCAATTAGTTAATGTAATGAATACAGATAATTTAAAAGACAATAAATGAATTAGCGATACTAAATTCTGACTGACGTGTACCAAAACTCAGTTAACAATATCAACATTGCATTATAATATCGTGTACAAATGTCATTACATTTTGCCTCAGTTTGGGTGTAACGTGTTCAAATAAGGCGCAATAACAATTAATTGATATCGATCGTGACTAATGCTATTCGTATAGCATTCGAAGTCTGTTCAGTTTCTTCACGTTCCTTATAAAGTGGATTTACTAAGCAATTCGCTTGAGCAATAAAATTTACTCAAAAACGGTCAGTCCAAACTTGCATGAATCACGAAACACGTCTGAGATCGTAGCACAAACATTCAATATTTATTATTTACATTAACAACATCCTAATATTTTAAACCTTTCCTTGTTCATCATACAAAGGATTTCTGAGTAAATTTGTATAACGGGAAAATTTATATTGTTAATGCAGACACTGTTTCCGTATAGTCAGGTCTACCTTTTGCTTTATAATTATTTAAAATGCACTGTTGTTTTTTTTAATTTAAAAAACGTATGGATATAAATTGTCTTTTATAAACTTTAAGAATTTTAACATATCTTTGTGTCAACTATATCAAGAACACTTCACAAAAACAACCTATATGCTGATAAGAACTAACATTTGCCCACTGCGTTCTATTGTTTTTGAATTTTCAATAAAAACGTTACCACCATTGTCTTGCACTGTTACTCTCCTAACAAAAAAAAAACTATTACAAATTGTAACGTAGATATGACCCTGAGGATGCTCTATTTCTAGGGGTAACAACGACCTCAATATCGCTGAAACGGCTGGAGGTCGAGCGTGGAAAGCCGATAATCATGTTAGAAATTTATGTATCAAAACGCAAGGGATTAGTACAGGTCAAAGATAATTACCGTCTGACGCTAAATGACGAATATATCCTTTGCTATAGACCAATTAGACTAACCTATAAGATTATTTTCTTCTGATCTCCAATTCACATTTATACTTGTATGCATGCCGCAAAAGAAATATATTTCAATACAACAAAAAAGTAAATTGGTATCAAGGTAAGTCGAATAATCGTTTTTAATTGCAAATCTAATCGCTTTTACGTCGGCGGTAAGTCATAAAAATACAGGAAACTGTATCATAGCGTGCCTTTATCAGATCATGTTTATGGCATTGCGGTTGACAGACCTTCGAGTCTAAGACTCGATTACATTGCGATCATTCATTTCATTGACATAAAACTTTTATTATCAGTATCAGGCTTTGGTATTAAAGGTAAAGCAAGCTTAAAGTACAGTAAAAAAATAGTACTTGCTGGGGATATTACTCCAGATTTAACAAACTGGTCACCATTAAATTAAATAAGTTTCTACGCTATCAACAAGCAAACAATACAAATCATATTTAGGTATATAAAACTGCGATTCCACTAATATCTTATTATCTAAAGAGGACCGAAAATACGAACAAATACAGAAAAAGCACTATTAAAAACTGTCCATTACAAGTATAAACATTATTCGTAATTGATTTTATGGACAGTGTAATTTTGCGCAGTTTAGAGGACGGCGACACTAAAACCGCCAGACGGCAACGTATCCGTTACAATGAACCCTATTCCACAGTCACCAGAATACATTCGATAGCTAACAACGAAAAGGATTTAGAAATCAATGACCCTAACTTATACGTGACAACAGAACAAAGCAATGGCGACTCGTTTATTACAAACTTTTTTTCTTAGAGTTAAAAATAAACACACAATCGCAGTTTTGATTAGGAAAAGTCAACTCAAGAGTTTCATGCAAATAAGCTATGCAGTTTTTTCCTACACAATCAAATTAAGTTAAGTTTACTTAAGAGATTTGAGGGGTCTAAATTTACAACAACTATTAATGATACCAACGTGATTAAAAGGATTTTGAGCAATTTTAATGATTGGCTTATTATGTCAAATTTTCTAATAATCAGTGCGTTTTTTTTGTCAGTACTGGCTTGTCAAGGTGTTACTGCAACCATTCCAGATTACGATAACTTAGACGACTATAACTCCGCAACTGCGTCATTGTGAACGTGACTTTAACCCTTTTGCGTAACTTCCTGTCTTTTATAACCACTTCGATACAACGGAAGCGGTATTTTCAAACGGATACATCATTCTCAACTCTTTTAATAAAAAAAATATATTGATTGAATCAAATTGTTAACTAGCAAGTGCAAGATGCAAGAATTTTTCATGAATTCTATAGAACCTTTTTTAATTACATGGGTGATCTGAAGGGTTGACAACTAGGCCCACGGGACATACTCGTACGCGGACACGGCTTTGAAATGGTACATGAGAGTCTTAAAATAAAGAAGTCCTCGATATTTTTAATGGTTATATTTTCTATAAAAATGATTCCTGAATCATCCATTCATAAAATAATCTATTTTCTATTTTCTAAAGGCTTTCTTGCAATTTTTAACACGAAAAATTCATTTTAATTTATGTAGCAAAATAAAAAAATCAACATGAACTAAATTAGTAAAACATTGAAAAAGACAATAAGATGAATTGTACAAGACTTTATGTAAACTATACTATATATAGCTATTCCCGTGCGACTTCATCCGCATGAAATTATGAAAATTGTATTTTATTGTTTACATGTGTCAAAATATCAATTGCAAATGTCACAATGACATGACATGATGACAAAGTATGGCAACATTGCTTCCTTGATGTTGACAGCAACTTATGGTCTCTTTCCCACATTAGGGTTTTTATCCAAAATATTAACCCCCTAAGTTTAATGGCGTAAAAATATATAGCCTAAAGCGTGTCGTAAGTGTAGGGCTTTTTATTACAGAAAGAATTAATCAAAAATATGCTGTGATTGCTGACATCCTTTGCGACAAAGAAGTGTGTGTTTATGTATTAAATATTTGTACTATACACTATTACACTAATCACAATGACTGCCATTATTTCTTTGAATGTCTAATTGATTTAACTATCTACAGTATAAGGTAACATTAAAATCATAACATACTTAGAGTATTTTCTCTTGTTATAATAACATTCCTCCATTCTAGATATCTTGTTATGACTTTGTTATAGTATAAAAATAACATTCTAGCCATAGTCATATGAACTATAATTTCATACAAGTTTGATGTTGTAAATACTGATTAAAAATTCCTCATATTTGTTGAATCTATTAATGTAAATTTTGATCAACCTGCCCTCGTCCCTTCAGAGAATTGGTACAGTATGTATTGCTCTTACATACATCTTGTATCAGCCGTCATATCTGAATTCACTGTCTTCGTATGTCTATCATCTTTTCGGAATCCATTCATACTTTCTTCGGTCTTCCTCTAACCTTGTAGCCATCTACATTCAATCTTAATAGAAATGCCAAAAATGAGATATAAAATGCAACAACAAACAATGCAACAAAAATATGCTCATTGTTAATGTTATTAAAATTATTTATGAATTAGTATACCTATTCTCTTAAGAATTTACATATTTGTGTAAAATTATAATAACAATATCCACTGAAGAAATTTTCAATTAGATTTTAATGTAATGGTCATTGTAAGTCAATTATTGGAAAGAACATCCTGATATTAGTTTGATTATTTTTAAATATACCCATAAGGAAATTAATTACAATAACACAATATTTATAGCAGAACAAATCTGTCCTTTCAACTATTCACCTACCTAAAATCTAATTAGGATTCTATTGGAATCTACCACTAATTGTCATAATTCTTTAAAATTCATTCTCTAACTAAGCAATTCTTTCTAGTGATAAAAATTTAAGAAAATGTTTTATAATCAAGTGTGCTAGATCAACTTGACCTAATTATAATCTATGTCACAACAGCCGTGTCCACAGTTTCGGAAGCTACTGAGAAAAACTGCAGACCTAGTTTAAATTATAATTTTAGAACAGTACAGAAAAAAAAAATATCTAAAAAGTTTATGCTTTTTGAAATAACATTTCTTTATCTAAATTATTTTAATACATCAAATTAAATAAAGTTTTTTTTGGTGGTATAATGAAAACAAATGGACTCTGTGTTGAATAAAACATTGGTATGCAACTGTTAAAATATTCCAATTTTTAATATCTACAAATGAGCGCACGATGAATCACCAAGCTAAATGTTTACAGCAGTTGGTATTGCCTGCACTGATGTCATGTAAACTCGAGCCGCAGCACCAATAACTCAGACGTCCATGACTTTTATATACCGCCTAAAGGCACGTATTAGAATTTCACAGAATCTAAAATTCACCAAAGCAGCTGACGGGACACCATACCCAATGAATTTATTCTTATGTAATGGTCCTATAATCCTGGTTGTTCCTAATATAACTGATCGATTTTAAATATATCAGATAACATGACAGTCAAATATTATTTTATGCGTAGGAGGAACTAAAATACCTTTATTTTATGTGTAATCCAATATCCAGAAGAAAGTTGAAGTCCTGTTTACACACGAGATCACTGTCATTCATGTAAATTAACACACTATCACAAAGCAACACTACACAAATTTTCACTTATAATTAATAAATTATGTGAAAATATCACATAATGCGCCATTTTCGCAATAAATTCTAAAGACAGCAGTCGGCAATCGCTGCCATCTTTTTTGTCAAATGTCTTTAGACTAAATATAGCGCTCCGAACGAACTCTAGTGTTATTTTTAGACAATAAGATGCAGCATTTCAAAGAATTATTATAGCGCCATCTACCTAAAACGAAGTTAACCAGTTGTACCAAAAGATGGCGTTAAAAACAATGCATGTGTCACGTACAAATCCTGTACATCGCCTGTTTGGATTTTGCCCTGGTTAATTGCAATTAAAATAAAAATAACACCTTCTCTTAATTAAATATGATGTAGGTACTTAGGATTCTGTTTTTTTGCTGTTTGACAGTAAAAAATGTTTGATTAATTTAATAATTAGCAAACGTAATCCATGTGTAAAAATGCATAATTTAATGCTTTGTTAAGATGACTGAACGAAATCCGGTTGACACAATACCCCAGTGGAAAAATATTTGGAATACTTTCGCCTACACGGATTTCTGCAACCATCGACCCACATTTTAAACGCCTTCAGTGAGACATTGTATAGGAAACTTATTTGGTTGTTCTGCGCGGGTTACATAACGTAATCTTAATGAGCATGTCACCAGTTTTCTTCTCGTATTGTTTAGAAACACTCTAGTCTTTTGCAAGCTCATACAAGTCGAAGTATAAGGACTAACGTTCTTTATTTGAGCAATCACAACGCTGTCCTACAAAAGGCAAAGGAAAAAAACGATATATTAAACACAGCCAAAGACAATGAGTCTCTGTTTTTTATTCATATACACAAATCGAAACTAGATATGTTTTTAATAAAGAACTTAATTTTAATATTTAAGAAACTGTTTCAACAGACTTTGGGTTGACTTTAATGAAATTAGATGTGACAAATTATCGTGAAATAAGTCTTGACGGGCGTTAGATAGCTGGGATGGTCTTGATCCGGGAATCACATTCCCAATTTCATTTCTTCTTAGCCCTATTCCATTCCATAATTACAATTATTAATTTTAAGTTACTCGTTCCACGGAGTACTAACATTAATAATTATCTCTTATAAGTGCTACGTAACACTGAAGTGTGTTCGTCATGGTTGTACTTATTCGCGCGTTAGGTACGGGGCGGTGAAAGTATTTTGTGCAATGATGCAAACAGCCTGCAGCCGCGAATGGAAACCGCTAACTATATACGTCACTTAACGCTGTAACTTAACCACATGCTGCACTTAACAGCAGCGATCAAACTAAGTCCAAGTTATTTTAAATTCATTGCTATATATAGTCTACCTGAAACTATACAACAAAATAAAGTAACACACTTTTAATAGTATTTAACTAGTTAGACTAATCTTTAGTTTTTTTTTTATTGTGTTAATAAAATTGCTTAGTGCAGTTGAACTCACACAAGTGTAATATCAAATCGAGCTTTGTGACCAAGTTTTCTTCCTTGATAGTCCTTTACTTTGTACACAAAATGCGAGCATGTTTGAATCTAATTATATTTGTATTTTCAATGTTAAGGCATCGCTTTTATCCTCACATTTCTTTCCGCAACGTCTACGGTTATACGATAACAACCAAAAAGAGGTTTTAAAAGCTTTTAGTCCACATGGAAACTAGCCCAATGCAATAGGAGACCACATATTTAACATTTTATGTAACCATAGACACGACCAAGTTAAAAGACATCAATAGTTTTTAAACTATGATATATGAGGTAATAAAAATAACATAAATTACAAAAATTCTTTACCGCCTACACGAATAATAAACATGGATTGTGGAAGTAAGGAATGTGTGTCAAGAAATGAATGTAATTAAATTAAATTGTTTTATAAGATTGTATCAAAGCCATTATAGCCGCGCCGAGAGTACGTGTCTGGTTTACGATGATAAAAAATAACATTACTTACTTTCGTATCATAACTAACTTAATCACGCAAGTAGAATAGGCTAAGTGGCTTGTAATGCTGTATACTTACTGATGCTTTAAAAATATGCAATATTTTTTTTACATATAAGAAAAGTTGGCAAACTAAATGGTTTTTGAATTTACTTAAGTAAATTTCTATTGTAACTTACACGTTAGAACTTTCAAATTCATTCCCTGTACTAAAATAATCTATTATTGATAAGGCTAAAGCTTAATAATATTGTTCATAATAATCCGTATGTTATATGATTAAAACGAATTAAAGAAACAAACACATCCAAATATGAGAAAAGGGTCCTTAGAAGAGCAGTGGAAGATGAACGACCCTCAAATTAGTTTAAATTAAAAGCTACAGTCTCCAAATTTCAAAACATTTTGACGATAGCAGTTGAAAGGTTTTACACGGCCAATGGAACAGTGGGCGCGGAGACGCGGTTACGTCGTACCTAAGCAGCGGAAAGCGGAAGTAGCGACGTAACTTCCAAACTTCCCACAATATTAAATACTTAGATTGTTTTACTATGCAGGCACTTTACCGGAACATTGGTAGAGCATTCACTTTGGTTATGCATTCTATTGTAATTACACAAAAATTCTTAAAGCATAACATGTTTTAACACTAGGGAACATATTTCAGAAAGCTTTAGGTAAAATTTCGCTTTTCTACATACAATAGTTTTAAATGAGCTTTGGAAGTTTTGAATGCTTGTCAGTAGTGAGCTTTTAAATTCGATAGTCGAATCTTAAATAGGTCGTAACTATGTGCATAGCTGCCTAATTAACTATAAGAGGACGGTTGTTTGTTGATTAAAAATTAAGAAACATTCAATAAATATTCACGCGTAAAACTTCCAACTTTAGAAATACGATACAAGGAAATGTTTATCCGCAAACAATTGCATTACGTCCGGATATAGTATTTCCGTTACTGTATACAGAATTATAAGAATAGAATCTAAAAGGCATTTTTAAGAAGCGATGCACAAAAGAGTACTGATGTAACTGGCAGCTGCGGCGCGCAGTGGGAAGCCACTTTTCTCTTGAGTTTCTCCACCGCGCCATGCGCAAGCGCAAGCGCACTACCGCACGCCAGTCTACCGCACGACGCTGACAGTCGCGCGCGTCTTTAACAATAGTATTTACAATTTTTAACCTTAACACTATCGTAACAGAACACAAAATCAGTTTTTATCGACAATCGTGTGAAGTTGTTGCAAGTGTTGTGTTTGTGAAGTTTAATAGAAAGTCGACTTTTTATCAAGGCTAGTGTGAACGAACCAATTGTTTTGTATTTAACAAATCGTGCTTGGAAAACATTTAAGTGTAAGTTCATTAAGTTAGACCTAAGTGATATTAATTAATAATATTGTGATACCATAAAAGTAATTTGTGTTTTCTTAAATGTTTATCTAATTACAATTCAAAGGAATCATAATTACTTAGTAAAAGTAATACGCTATTAGAAACTTCCGCGTTAATCATTATAATTTTTATTTCAAGCCAGTATGTAATATGCTAAAAAGTAAAATTATACATTTTCGTACTGGACATTACGAGTATAACTAAGTTTCATTCGATAGATAGTTAGTTAGTTAGTTTAAACGAATTTGTTAGATAACAATTAACCTAAACATTACGTATAAATAAACTATTTACGTTTATGAATGAAGAATCCAACGCATCGACTGAAGAGCATTATCTAACAATCTATCATAATTAGACCACTACATTACGCAACTAAACAATAATAATATTTATTATTTTCCAGTGCGTAAGTTCTTTAACAATAGGAAATTATTCGATAATAACGTACGATAATAAACAACTGAGCAACCTACATCCACACTGTCATTACTTTTATACCTATTCTGACTAAGAACAATCGATATCCCACGGCACATATATTAAATCGATTACATTTTCTTAGTGTTTTGTGTCAATGGTGTGCAATACAGTATTGCAATTCTTCAGCAAAAAAGTTCCACATTCGAATTCACAACATGAGACAATTGCAGTCCCGTGAACGTCGATAGTGATGAAACGGCTTGTACGTGATATATTTATCAATCGGTTTGTCTTTACGAAAGTCCGTAAGCAACAGTGTAACGGTTGGCGTACTGCGCTTCTGGTATGTACCGAAACACGTTACGTACGCTCTAACGGCATATTAATTGCACTTTATCATATGAATACTATTGTTTACTAATTCGTTCGTCGACCACGTGGGTTTCTTTTGGCTGTATTCAATCGGTACTGAAACTTTGTTAAGCTTTAGCTCGCAGATTACTTTGACTATCTGAAATTATAATAAAAAGTAAAATGTATGCCTCCAGCCAGTAAATGCAAGGGCTATAAAAATGACAATTGACACGCGAATTTGTACAAATAATTGATTTCCACTGTTTGAATATAGTGATCCCAATGGAATCGAAGTCTTCTTTTTTATCAGAACTAAGTTATAATTGTGAATACGAATAATACTGACAATGGTAATTGTGCTTGCAAATATTGTTCGATTGTTAATTAGAGCACAAAGTTAAAACATAAATAAGAAAATTCCTACAGAGAAACGACAAATTAAGTTAGTGGATTTTTTCCTCCTCGAGAAACAAGTTCAATTCAATGCATGAAATTATGATAATGCTTGAGCGCCGCACATTGGGCTGTATCAAGTTGCTCCATAGACAACTTTATCTGATGTTTGAAATGTCTCTTTTTGTTGCTTGAATGTGCTTTGTATCAGTAAATGCATACCTTATAACG